ATCTTTGACCCCACCCCTCTCCCTCGCACCTCACATCCGCCAAACAGTCAAAACCTCATTTTTCCACCTCCGCAATATTGCAAAAATCCTATCCTCTCTCACCCGCCCCGCAGCCGAATGACTAATCCATGCCTTCATTTCCTCCCGCCTTGACTACTGCAACTCACTTCTTTACGGCATCAGCTCTACATCCCTCAACAGACTCCAACGGGTTCAAAATGCAGCTGCACGTCTCCTCACGCATACCAAATCATGGCATCACATCACCCCAGTCCTCAAAGACCTCCACTGGCTAACCCATCGCATCAACTACAAAATTCTTGTCCTCACCTACAAAGCACTCCACCATCTTGCCCCCCCTTATCTCACAAACCTTCTCACTCCTTATCAACCCCCACGGTCCCTTAGATCCACCGCAGCCGGACTCCTATCCATTCCCACATCCACACTCTGCAGCTTTGGGGACAGAGCCTTCTCAGTGGCAGCTCCTAGGCTCTGGAATTCCCTCCCCCAAGATCTCCATGACTCTGAGTCCCTCACAGTCTTTCCGTCCCGCCTCAAAACACATCTTTTCAACTCTGCCTACCCATAAGCCCCCCTCCTCTCAATCAATTTCCTCTTGACTGCCTATTTTATTTTATTTTACTATACTTACTTGTTTGCCTGTCCTTGTTTGTCTACCCTCCCTCATACTGTAAAGCGTCTTTGAGTTGTGAAAAGAGCTATATAAATAAAATGCATTATTATTAGTAGTTATGCTGTGAATTCCTGCAACAAGAGCAAATACATCATTAGTTGAGTAAAAACATTATAGTGCTCTTTCAGATTGGTCAGATACTCCTTCAGATGATCTGCATATTGTAAAAGTTCACAATGTTTTTTCCCACATAAGGCCATAATAGCTTAACTGGAGGGTATAACTTACTTAACTGACATGTTGGATAGACACATACAGTATACAAATAAAAATAAAACCTGAGTCTTGTGACCAACCTTTTAGTCCAGCGAAGAGGAGAAGAAAGCTCAGTTGAACAGTCATGTTGGCAAATGGGCAGGAAACCACTTGAACCCAAACAATGGCAGTCCGATTCTTTATTTACTTTTTTTTCTACGCGTAATAACTCTACTTCTCCTCCTCCATCTGTAAAACAGACCCAATTAGTAAAGGATGTATGTTTTGTTTGTGATATATACTCTTTATGCAGTTTGTTTTGCTACCACAGAGCAGACATCACTCTTAGCATCTGACATCCTACACACAATAGATGAATTGAACCGATTTTTTGAATTCAGTTACAAATTTGTATGGTTAAATAACAAAAGCTAGAATACTTATGTGTCTTTTTATATTATCTATTACATAGTTTGTTATTTGCTTAGTTTCCCCACATGTTTAACATTGCATTGTTTGGCGTCCTCTTCAGTCAGAGGAAGATTCAAACCAAACGTTTTTTTAAATAGAAACTATGTGTGATAGACCAGATCTGATGAGATTTAATGCATGGTCATCTTTTTCAGCACAAGCAAAACATTTTTATGAATACTTTATCTGTAAGGCCGGATCAGAGGAATTAGAATTAGAGTTCACTAGATAACAATGCATCTAAAGTGCACTTTTACAATATAATTTAATTTAGGCATATGGACTGAACCTTGTTCATTTATTTAAAACATTAAACCACGACAACAATTTGAAGTATGTGTCAAACACGCACAATGCATAACAAGTGGAGAGATCATATTAACACTACAAAAATGCCAGAAAGTTGATGTTTCAAACAGAAGGGTTAAATATATGAGAAGAAGAAGACAAGGAGGATGGCAGAAACTGAAATATCAACCCGTGATTTATTGAATTATAATGTTTATTTCTGTTGACTTATGTTGTACTTTAAACATTATAATTCATGTTCCATCAAACATTAATAATAATAATAATAATAAATTCGATTTATAAAGCACCTTTCATTGCTCACAGCAATCCCAAGGTGCTACATGAGGCATAATAAAAACAAACAAAATAAACAAAAGTTTAATCAAAAGCTTTTTTTAAAAGAAAGGTTTTTAAGCCTTTCTTGAAGGCATCAGTGGTCTGTGGAGTCCTCAGGTGGTCTAGGAAGGAATTCCACAGACGAGGAGCAGCTGCACAGAAAGCCCGATCCCCCATTGTGCGGAGTTTGGTCCTCGGGGGGTGAAGCCGATGGTTAGTTGTGGAGCGGAGGTTGCATGTGGAGGTTTGAGATGTGAGAAGTTCCTTCAGGTATGGAGGAGCGTTCCCGTGGATGCAGTTGGGTTTGCACTTCAGTCTTTTTTCTTTTGGTACCGGTGATATTCACGTTTGGGTGATGCCTTTTCAAATGAGTGTGCAAGTTTGATGTATTGCCAGACGCGTAACCAATTTTAGTTGAAAAATGCAGACAAACAGCTTTGGTTCGGTCCACCTGTCTTTGTCCGTCATCCTTGTACGTAACTGCGATGCCAAAATGTTCCCAAACCGGAGACTTCAATGATGCTGGAGGATTTTCGAGCTCAACTTTATCTGCGTTCGCTATTTCGACAGTTCCTCAAATTACTGACTACATTTGAACGCATCCCTGTGACCAGCTCTCATAGTATGCCTCTCGTCCAATTAAATGACTTGGCCGCTCTATGACCCGTTGAACCCAATGTGAGCAAATTACTCTGAATGCTGCGACGCAGCACCTGAGATTACTTCCAAAAAGTGTTCACGTTCTCAATTTTTTACGTTTAACGTTATAGTCGTTTGGTACACACGTGTACCAAACCGAAGGGTATACATACCCGTACCGAAATTATTCGGTACGGGTATGTATACCGTTACACCCCTAATATTTATACATGTCAGTGTATTAACAATGAAAATTGTATTTTGAAACAATGTTAAACTGACTTGCATTAACCTTTTAGGTATTTATAATCCTCCAGACTTGCCTTTTCAGTTTTCTAATATTGTATTATAATTATTTATTTTGTTAATGTGCCGGTTTGAATGTGTCCCCTGCAGAAGAAGATGTTCCTATTGAGCCCCCGAGTGCAACCACCACCACCACCATTGGAATATCCGCCACCTCCACCACTTTCACTACAGCTTTTGGTAAGAAGCGAGCAAGTGTGGCCACTACCCCGAGCACCAATCGTAAGAACAAAAAGAACAAGACCAAGGACTCGCCCAATGAACCAATCATATTACAGGATCCGCAGGTGAGCACCATCATGTCTTTGTTGATTTATAATGTGCTTAATGTGCACATTGTTGCTTTTATCTACGAAGAAACACGATTTGATGAGGTCTCTGTTTGTTTTCTCCCTCTAGGTTGCACTAGCACAGCACAAGGCGGACAAGAACAAGATCCACGGCGAGCCCCGGGGTGGGGGGAGCGGAGTGACGGGCGGCAACAGCGATTCGGACCCATTGGATAGCACCGACTGTGCTAGTGAGAGCAGCAGCAGTGGGGGCAAAAGTCAGGAGCTCAACTACCTCCCTGATCTCACCTCCTCCGCCTCCTCCTCTTCCTCCTCTTCCTCATCCTCCTCATCAGTCCCCTCCTCAGGAGCAGCCCAGAGCCTCCTGCGCGGCCTGGAGAAGAGACACTGTCCTCAGCCGCAAACTGACGCCAAGGTGGAAAACAAGGTCACAGTCTCTATCTCAAAACCAACGCAAAAGTGAGTCCCTAACGAAGCCGAGCGTATATATCATCTAAATTACAAATATTCTGAATACAACCTTTATCTGATTTCAAAAAGTTTTCATGAAAAATAACTATCATTGTTTTTCTTATTGCCCGTGTTGTCACAGAGCTCTGGACATGAGCGACTCCACCTCACACTCCTTACCCTCTCCATTCAAGACCATGGCTCTACCCGTCACCTCACCCATCAGTAAGCTCAGTCTCACAAGCCCCAAAAGAGGCCAGAAGAGAGAAGAAGGTTGGAAGGAAGTGGTCCGAAGGTCCGTTGTTTGCATTATTTCATCATTTTGCTTTGCAACTTTTTACAGGCTTTTTATCGACATGATTCCTTTTTTTTTTAGAGAACAATGCTTCTTAAAATTCAGCATTGAGATGACTATCATTAGTGCCTGCCTGTATAGACTCACAAATAATACAATTTCCCTGCTTATTTTACAGATCAAAGAAGCTGTCTGTGCCAGCCTCTGTTGTGTCTCGGATCATGGGTCGAGGCGGCTGCAACATCACAGCTATCCAGGACGTGACAGGAGCTCACATTGACGTAGACAAACAGAAGGACAAGAACGGGGAGAGGATGATCACCATAAGGTAAAGATGTGTCCCTCTGGTGGACTCTAAGCAGCACTGCAGCTGAAGTACAACAGTTTCATAATCTTAGCCCCTTCTGGATGATGTCATTTATTCAAACTGGGCGGGTCCTTAAGTAAAGTCCTTACTCTTTTTTTGCGTCAATGTTTCACACGTAGTCCTTGGTAGACCATTGTTATGGTGAAAACAGTAAACCTGCACATTTGCTATTGCTAGTACACGGCTCATGAAAGTTCCCATGCACTGAGAAACTAGTTTCAAGATAAGAAGGCTTTCACACCAAGTACTTTGCCGTACTTAGTTCCCAGCACTTAGTTCCCCCATGGAACTAAAGAGCAGATCGCGTTCACACCGGAATAAGTCTCTGGGGGAGGTTTACGCAAATGAAGCCGCTAACTTCACTTCTTCTTCTTCTTCTGCTTTGGGTTTACTGGCAGGCTGCAAACAACTTCACGGCGTATACTGCCACCCGAAGTCCCGGGCCGGAAGTCCCCAGAGTTGGGGACTGGCTTCAGTAGAAGCTGCTGGGACTCCCAGCAGCTTCTACTGAAGCCTTCCGAGTAAATCGCCAGAACGCCGACACCTCCTCATCTCCACCGCTCCCATGTTTTCTTTTGTGTTGCCATAAATTGGTCTCTCTGCGTTGGTGCGCTGGGCTAATGCTAATACTAATGCCAGCAAATACAATGGAGTTTTATGGGGCGTGGTTTGCAATCCGCCCAGCCAATCAGACATGGGAACCCTTTTCTCCCCAGGAAAGTACCACCTCTCTAGCAGGGACTGAAAAGGGGGGAAAAGTTCTCATGAACTAAGTTCTCTTTTTGGTGTGAACGCAAAATCCCAGGAACTATCGGAACTAAAAGTACTCTGCTGTGAAAGCGCCTATTTCGTTAGAGCGATGCAGCGATTGTAGACCAAGGACTTTTCACACCAGCAGTGACTTAAACTGCTTTGGAGAAATGTTTTTGTTCGTTAGTCCAATACAATAAACTGCAAACCAACCTACCATACTTGAACTTCAATGCCTTCTTGGCCGTGCTCTGGTCTGTCACAAAACTTATCAGACTGAATTATGTCATCACTTTTGATCTGTTGTAATATTAGTGTTTTGGTTTTTCAGAGGAGGGACTGAGTCTACAAGGTATGCAGTCCAGCTGATAAATGCTCTAATCCAGGATCCAGCTAAAGAGCTTGAGGATCTGATCCCCCGGAATCACATCCGAGCCCCAGGCTCCAAAACCACCTGTGCTTCCTTCCCCAGTACAACAGGGGCCGTCAGCGGCTCCAGTGTTGGGCCCAAGGCCCTGAGCTCGTTGGTCACCTCCCCAGGCGTCTCGTTCCAGCCCTCTTCATCCTCATCTTCACCCTCCTCTCAGGCTGGGGGAAAGATTGGGAAGGGGCTGTCATCAAATGTCAGACAGCCCTTCCCTGTGTCTCTGCCCTTGGCGTACGCTCACCCTCAGCTCGCTCTCCTGGCTGCGCAGACCATGCACCAGATCAGACACCCTCGTCTACCCATGGCTCAGTTTGGTGGCACCTTCTCTCCCGCCGCCAGCACCTGGGGACCCTTCCCTGTGCGTCCCGTGAGCCCCGGGAGTGCTAACAGCTCCCCCAAGCACAATGGAGGAACCAACAGCACTGGAGGCCAGGCCCGACCCAACTTGACCCACAGTGAGCACGCAGCCAGCTCAATGGTCTCAGTTGCGCCCACCAACACCTCGACCAACAGTGCTCCCAACGCAGCAGCAACCTCGCCTCATACCCCAAATCCTACTCCTTACAATCCCCAGCCGAGCGTCCCCACTCCTTCCTCCGTCAGAAAAAAGCTCTTTGCCCTTGACCCCAAGCCCGCCGGTGCCCCCCCTGTGTCTGTTTCTGCCTCTTCTACTAGTGGCAGTAATGCAGTACGAGGCACAGGTTCTCCCGCACATCACAGTTCCACTACCCTTCACGCGAACGCCCCTCAGCATTCAGTCGGACCGATGTCCCAGCCCCCAATCCATTCAAATAAATCAGAACCCAGTGCTGTTGCCCCTGGAAAAGACAAGCCCTCTCTCTCTGCAGAGAACCAGGCTGTTCATGTCAGTGAGAGCCTCAACTCTATGGGTTTCCCTGCCCCCAGCATGGCTTTACCTTCCAAGCCAGAGCTTCGACAGCAGTTACCTCCTCCCCCCTCCTCTGCACCATCATCAGAGGCCCCACCACCGCTCCTCAACCCGCAGCCCGGCTCCCAACACGCCTCAGCACAGCCTACTGTCCTCTCACACAATGTTGCACACCCCAACAACACTGTACCCCACTTCTCAGCCCCTGCGCCCAGAGTCTCCCATCGTATGCAGCCACCAGGGCCTTACTACTCCCTTAATGAGCAGCAACATCAACAACAACAACAACAACATCAACAACAGCAGCAGCAGCAGACGCAACAACAGCAGCAGCAACAGCAACAACAGCAATCTGTGTTCGTGCCCTTCAATGCTCAGCAAGAACTCCCAAAACAGACCCAAAATCAGACGTCCCAGCAGAGCAATTTGCCTCCACAAGCGCAAAACCAGGCTCAAGCCCAGTCTCAAGGCTCCCTTCAGGTCTCTGCTAACATGGGCATGATGAACGGTTCCCAGATGCAGCATGTGGGCAATGCGGGCAAGCCTCAGCAGTTACCCCCCAACTTCGGTCCTGCAGGTCTCTTCAACTTCAGCAGCATCTTTGATAACCAGGTGAGATAAAGTAACATTTATAGTATAAATATTTGATTGACAAATTGTTTTAATTATAGCTGCTCTTATTGAGAGTCTTTATATTACACGGATAACCTTTTAAATACCTGAACAAACTACACAGACACTACCAATGTTTTGATCCGATTCTTGCTGTAGTGCTTCTGTAAGATCGATAACAACAAAAACAACTTCTAAGTCTCCTTGTTATAAATTGTGCTCGCCATGCAGGTTTCAAACAATCCGGTGTGGGGTGCGTGCCATCTGCCGACTCGATCACCTCCAGAGCAGTCGTACTCGACCCCACAGGCCTACATGAGCCAGATGGAGAATATGATGCCCCAGCCTCCTCCAGACAGCTCTAAAGCCCCTGGCTACCGCTCTGCCTCACAGAGGATGGTCAACAGCCCCATCGGTATGATTATTTTCTTCGAATTGATCATCCGGTTGATTTTTATTTAACTTGGTTAAATGCAATGTTTATATCTCTTTGGGATAGAAAAAACACTGCCTAATAATGAGCTGTCTCTTTGATGTGTGCCCCCACAGCGTTGACCAGCTATACCACCAATATCTCTGGTAGCCCTGTGTATCTGCACGGTCATACAGGAGTGGGCGCACCCTCATTCAGCAGACAGCACTTTTCCCCCCACCCATGGAGTGCATCCACATCAGGTACTAGGCTCCAATGCTTCTTGTTTTTGTTGTGTCTCTATAACTCAGACTATTCAGCCTTCACTTATCCACAATTATTTAGACTTTTAAAATGTTTTCTTATATTGGCTTGTTTCTTTTGTAACCTTTTTTAAACCCATGAATGGCAATTTTACAGGCTTGTTTTCTTTTTCTTTTAAGAAGTGCTTTCCAATGTGCATATCTAAACTGCTCCTAACTATTTCTCCTTGAATTGTCTTTCCCCCCCGAATTGTCCCCCCCCCCAAGGTGAATCTCCTGTGCCGCCTCCATCTACGGTGTCGTCATCTGCCCTCTCAACCTCAGCTGTGCCCCCTCCCCCCCAGCCTAAGCCAGGCAACTCCTCCCAGCAGGACCGGAAAGTTCCCCCTCCCATCGGCACGGAGCGGCTGGCCAGGATCAGGCAGACGGGTTCTGTTAACCCCCCCCTGCTGACCACCAGCTACACGGCATCCGTTGGACAGGGAGGCATCTGGTCATTCGGGGTCGGCAGTGCTTCGGGTAAAAACAAATGCAAATGTTGTTCTGTTAGTCTGTTTGCATTTTTGTTTGTTATAATAAGGACTATGGGGTAGGAAAATAATGTCAGAAGTGTGACATAAAGGGAAAGTTTACCCCAAAATCTAAAACACAATACTTATCTGTAGTGCTATCCATCAAACTACATTGTTTAAGGGCCGGCCGCCAATGAAATATGCACAACATCCATGAGTTGATGCACACATCCTTCTGCGCAGTGACACGTTTGGTACGTGTAGTTTAGTAGAAAGAAAGTAGTTGGCACATGAAACTGCTCACAACAAGGTCTGTGGATTATTTTGAGTATCAGGGTCATGAGTTCTAGAAAGCAATGTCGATGTTAAGTTTGAATTTGTTTCTGCTTTGATGACCACTACCATAGTGCCATTGAGATACATATGTCAGGAGAAAGCAGCCATCTGTATGGCTAATATCAACAACACTGCAACTTGCACCAAAACAATCTAGATTAAAACCAGTTTATCTTTTATGCTTTTTTGATTCTGATGTAAACTTTCCAACCACTTGCTTCTCAGTTACGGTGCAATAGTAACTTATAATCAGTAATAATGTCAACCCTGTGTGTCTTACAGAGGCCATGTCTGGTTGGTCCCAGCCCCTGATGAGCAGCCACATGATGCACCCTCAGCTGCAGCAGGAGCAGTCCGCCTTCTCTCAGCACCAGCCCATGGAGCAGGATGACACCGGCATTGCAAACCCTGCGAATAACTACCACCAGGCTCAGCATCTGCCCAACAGCTACATGGACTTTCCTAAGGTAGGATTTATCAATAGCTCTGTAGACGATTTAACCCCTGTCCCTCCTATGTACTAATGATAACCAATGACATATTGTTGTCTGTTCAGGGGATGCCTATGTCAATGTATGGAGGAACCATGCTGCCCCCTCATCCTCCCATGGCAGAGGGGCCAGGGGGGCCGATGTACAATGGTTTGCACGCTGGTGATCCCGCATGGAGCCCCATCATCAAAGTGGTCCCAAACAATGCGGATAACTCTGACCCACAGCAGCAGGTAAAGTCCTCTTTTGTTACACCCCTGACCACTAATCATATTCTTAGTTAGACTTTCAATCCTGTATTTCTGCTTTCAGCCATGAGTACATTATTTGATGCAGTCTTTCTAACATATACCCTGTGTTGGTCCTCTCTCCCCTCAGGTGTGGCCTGGTACCTGGGCACCTCATGTTGGCAACGTGCACCTGAACCACGTCAACTAGAGAGCGTCCACAGCAATCAAACGCACACAGCATGACCCACAGCGCTAACCTGAAATACCAACTGACGAATATGACCGAATAAGACGATGAAAAAAAGAAAAACGTACATGTTAACTTTAGTAGAGACCTAAGAGTGCAGAGCAGAGGTTGAAGAATTGGAAGTTCTCATGACACCATTCTTTAATGTTCCTATCTCAAACAAATAAAGAGGAAATTGGGCGAAAATTGTTATCAGTGTCCTGATGATGCAAACAACATGCGCGATCACCTGTTTAACAGGATCCATTCTCTGCGTAGTTTAGCGATTTTGACTTAAACCCACATACACCGTTCTTGGGCTGCAGGGGGCTCAACATGAAGTAGCTATTTAAACTTGGCCCAGAACTAGATGATGATTACCGAAAGAGAAAGAGAAATCAGAACCTTTTAGAGTGGTAAATAAATGTATAATTGTTTACATACTAAAAAGGGTTAAAATGAGAGTAAATTTCATGTCGTATAGTGGCTCTACTTTATGTAGCCTGTATTAATGTGAAATATTTACCTTAATATTCAATAAAAAGATTGAAAAGTATTTGTGTTCTTTCTTATGAAACATACTTTTCTTTACTACTACGTCTCTACTATTCTTTCCTGTTGTGACATTAGACTTTTTCACAGCTGGAGTCCTTGTGCAATCTTGAGACCTTCCTTTATGGTTGCAAATTTGCCTTGAATTAATTAATTAGACAAAAATGTTTAACATAAATGACTAATTTACTTGTATAGATGTTTAGTTGAGGGCTTGCTCCTCAAGCCCAATAATACACGAGTAGGATACACCTGTTCAATCTGGCATTAGACCAACCTGCTGGACATCTTTCATTGGTCTCTATCTGCAGCCGGAAGAGACTAGTGAGCAGGGACATACATTTTTGAATAAAAATGCTTTTTAATGATTTTGGTTCTTTCTTTTTTGAAATATTCAATAATTTCACTGTTGTAAAGTGAAGTGCTACCCCTCCCACATCAATGGTCTAAAGTAAACCAAAACACGTAATGTAAAGAAATATGCTTTTGAATAGGTTATTGATTTTTACTTTTGTAAAATATGTAATACCTTCACTATTATACAGTGTAATCTGATGGAAGGCGCGCAATACAGCGAAGGTGAGGATTTAAAAAAAAATCTTTATTTTCCAATTTTCACTTACAAACATTTAAGGTACACAACACTTATCCGGTTTACTTTAAATAGTGTTAATATGGTGATTCTCTGAATCGGGTGCCTTTTGGGTCTTAACATTTTTTGATCATAAAATCTGGCAGTGGACTACTTAAACCTTTGAGAAAACACATTTTCCAACCTCAGGCACAACATCCAAATAATTACCAGGAATTTCCTTGTGTGACGGTGTTGAATGTGACGGGGTTGACGTTTTTGACAAAAAGAAGCCATGAGACCTTGTTTAGCTAAGATATGGCACCACATGGAAGTCAAGGACATTACACAATTGTAATATTTTGCCAAAACTTGTTTATTGTTTAATAAACAATTATTTACTATTAACAGTTGAAATGTTGAGTTTGTCAATCTTAATCTGACAATAAAAAAAATGAAATATAGGTAAGAGAAGATACTGACACTTGGTTTTCTTTGCCGCCTTTCCTTCAGAAGATTTTTGTGATATTATTCCCTCAAAGCAGATGAAACATGGACTGATCCATTCTTTTTAATAGGAGGGTAAATGGTATGGCGACGGGTTTGAAACAAACTGGGGGACGTGAGTCAATATTGCAATTTCATAGTTAATTCAAGTATTTTTTCAGAATTTCTTTCTGTTCAGTTAAAGTTGGCAAGCATATGATTATATTAGCAGCAACATTTTTGATTTGTTTAATATTCAATGAATATGTAATGATGCTTAGTGAGGACATGCAAATATGTCTGTCTAGCACCCGATTTAGAGAATCACCCAATACTGTATGGTTAAAAATAAATTAAACAAAGTTAGAAAAGAGCAAGCGAACCTCCACCCTTCTCTGATGACGTGTACTCTTTATTTAACAGTGAAATGTTGGACATTTTAATTTCTGTTTGTTTGCACAGCACATTGCGGGCGACTGACGCCAGGAGGAGGTATACAAATGCTCGCGACACTCATGGCGACGGCTGACTTTGCGACTTTTATTGTGAAGTCAGAGTGCTAAGTAAGACCGGAAGTGTAGTTCTTTGGTTGCAGTCTCAGGTAGACATGGCGGCGTCTACAGCTACAGCGGTCCCGGAGAAATCACCTAAATCATCTCCGCCTGAGTTTGTGCCATTTGACTTTTCTAAGCCCCCGCTTATCGATGGCTTCAACCCTTTGGGCAAACTCAAAGATGAGACGCTAAAAGAAAAGTTACTGAGAAAGACAAAGGAGAACCCCTTCGTCCCGATAGGTGAGTTATACAAGCTGAGCAAAGTTACACAAGTAACACAGAGCAGAAACAGCGTGTCCTTTACTCTACAGTGGGCTCCAATCAAAGATATCTAATAACATTTAAAGCTATACCTACCTCAACTGATGGAATCATGCTAGTAGACAACAGTAATGCATCATGCTAACATCAGAGAAAAAGGGGCTAACCTAATACACGCCTTCCTTTTTGAGTCAGCACAAAAACAAATGTTGTCATTCGAGTTTCGTTCATCGATGACTTGCTTATTTTGTATTTGAAGCTCTGTGAACATAGCTTAAGTTGACCGTGCTTTAATTTGAATTCAATTAGCAATGCCCTTGGAAAAAGGTTGTCAAGGTTTAGGTAACACAAACCACAAAAACAAACTTAAAAATATATATATATGTTGCATTTTTGTTTTCAAGTATGAATGTTATTAAATATGCATCTCTAAACTTCTGCAGAAATCCTTAAGTCCATACCCCTCCCTGTCTTAATCATATTTTGAATGGTATTACTAAATAGTGTTAAGCATATGATCTGTGAATTCATATTTCATGAAATATCTCAATATAATTATAGAATTTCTTTGAGTATCTAAATATATTTACATGTTATTGTGTGGTGTATTAAATGTTGTCACAAACGTACACAACTATCTGTATGACTATAAGACTCTACCAACTGGGGGATGTTTTTTAAGTTGGCATTAAAGAGCGATTTACCCTTAAATGTGGGGACTTTACAGCTATTAAGGCCAACATGTCTAAGTGGTATCTTTTATCTGTATAATATGACCCTTACAGCAAGCAAGTGTCTGAATATTATTATATTATTTGTGAACCGAAAGGCACTTCAGGATTGCAATAGTATATGACATTAATCTAATGTCATATACATTAGTATCTTCTCATTACATTGAACTTGTTTTAGGTTAAATTCAACATGTCCAGTCTTCTTTTCTGTTACACTTCTGCTTTGTGTTCTCCAGGTTGTTTGGGAACAGCTGGAGCTCTGATTTATGGCCTCCGTGCCTTCAATCTTGGGAAAACCAAACAGTCCCAGCTGTCGATGAGAGGGCGAATCTTCGCCCAAGGCTTCACTGTAGTGGCCCTTGTTTTTGGTATCTTTACCACCACTATGAAACCCAAGGAATGAAGACGGGCCATCCCACACCTCTGCCTATTAATTCAACAGAATCAGACCAGATCCAACGGGGAAATTGGACTGATTTGAAGTATATGAATGATGTATTATGTTGTCTGCATTGTTCGGATATACCCATGCTAATGCCAACACTATTTATTGTCATTTGAAAACTGTGAATTGCTCATGGTGACAACATATTTGACTTTGGGCTTGCGCTATGTAACAACAAAGTATAATCGGCTCCTTACCAGCAAGCTGGATTTTACTTTTGTTTTACTCTAAAAGCATTTAAGCAAAATGTCGATAAATATAAATGACATACTTATTGCTCTTCTGGAAGCTTTTATTTGAATTGTTCCCATGTGTTGTGACTGATATGATCAAAGTGCCGCCTGGCTGATTACAGACTTTAATTTGAAGCTGGTGTCCTGTGTGATTTGAGATAAAGCATCACAATCCCATCTGTGATCAGGGAAATCTATTCCTTATACAACCTTTATTTAACATGTTACTTCAATCATTGTGAACCGTGTCTGTATTAATGGCCTGGATGAGTAGATCTAAACCAATTCTTAGACAGACCCATTCTCAATGTCAGCCTTTTACACTTGGGAGACTTTCCATTTAACTGAAACCTTTAGGAGGGCTCTAAATGTTGTATTAGAAAATGTTACCCATGCTAAAATGTGTGGCCTTGCACCAGTAAACGTGCTTCTCAGATTCCCATGTATTTTTTTTACCTTAAAATGATTGGTGTATATACTCTAAATCAGGGGGGTCAAACTCAATTTCATCGCGGGCCACATCACCATTATGGTTGCACTCAAAGGGCCGGTTGTAACTTTAAGACTATATAAAAATACATATATAATATATATAGAATAATGTATTATAATTGATATTACATTATTGCCTCTGCATTGGATTATCCTCGGATATCACTACGTCTGAAAGCTGAAGTCTAGGGCCAATCAGAGCCGTATAATAGAATTCTCTATATGGCGCTGGGGCCAACAATTGCAAATCTCTTCCTTGAGAATGTCACAAAATGAGATGCATTGTGGGACATGTAGTTTATGGGCAACGTGCTTCTGTAAATCGGCATGTAACCGTATATAAACGTAGTATATTCTTTCAGAGCTCTTCTGGGGCCACATGAAATGAAGTCACAGGCTGGATTTGGCTCCCGGGCCTTGAGTTTGATACCCCTGCTCTAAATGGATATTTGCACCAGCCTCAAAGTATAGCTGTAAATCATCAACTTGGATTTCAATGATTAGCAGTCTTAGCTGGGAAATATACAAGGACACGTTCATTTAGGTGATCATACTCCACTGTTTTTATTTTCCAGTTCCCTTTTGACATTCACTTGTTTCAGTATTAATTATGTCCAAATAGGCAACATGTGAAACAACGTGCTGACTTTACAGTTCAAATTGACACATTGATTACTGTTAAAAAATCTAAAACATCTTGGTGTAACACAGAAATGGAGCGTAAAACTTCTGCTGAGAAAATCAGAGAAATTAAAAATCGCACAAATTGTTGATCAAATTAACTTTGAAAATTTAGATGAGAAATCTTTGGTTGTGAATTTCTTGTTTCTCTGAAATCATGCCGAATCAAGAGGAAATCCATCTGGCTGAATATTCAAACTGGAGCAAGAGCTACATCAAAAAGGCCACACGCTTGTGAAATTGAAAGATAACCATATGCTAGCTACGTTAAATATTGTAATCAGGGATATCGTACAACCACGTGATCAGACTTTGTGTCAACGTTGATGAGAGGCATAAGCGGTCACAATCTAACACGCAATAGTGCTTAATAAGTAATTGTCATTGACCAAAATGCAAACGTATACAATTTAAATGTGTGCATCCAAAATATTTGCAAAGGCATGCAAGAAAACTGACCTAATAATAGTTTATAAGTTATAGGGGAATACAAATATTTAACTTACAATAACAATACTTTCTTAAGTATAGCAGTGATAAAACTAACAGCGAAAGCATGTCGTAACAATAGAGCAGTCCTTCATCTTCTCAAGAGAGTGGGGTTGAGTATATTATCTCAATATAATTAGTAGGCATCAAAAAAGTAGGAGTGACGTTTTCAAAGCCTATAAACATACCAGGAATTTTATGGAAAAGGGCATACAAACTCTTCTGATGAAACGTGATGTTAAAACTGAAAAGGCAAATTTTTCTAGAACAACATTCTCTCCACCAGCTCCTCTAACGGACTAGAGGTGTCTGTTTGAGAGAGATGAGAACAGAACGCATTCGAGAGACGTCCTTTGCCGTTTTGTTGGTTTTGGGATTGAAGTCACAGAGCCGGGCCACTCTCTCCCATTCTGATCCTGGGCTCTCACCGTCGGTCTCTGCCAGGAACGCGTCCTCGGATGCTCTGCAGGAGGGAGGGACACCAGAGACAAGCTATGACTGGGCTGTAATATTAGAGGGATTTTAGAACGATTTCCAAACCAGACATGGTGCTTCAATCACATGAATTGAACCATGCATAACATTCAGCAGAACTTCATGCGTCTCTTTATACCAATCATAGACTTTGTTGGAGACATATTTATGTTTTACAACCAATGGCTTATGTAACCAATACACACAAATGCAGAAAATACCAAATTAGGTCTTCAAAAACAAGTCATTTTAGTATTTGGGCATGCATAAGGTGAAAAACAACTATATGGAATTCCCTGAACAACATTAAAAAAGCGTAAGAACTCTAAACCTACACAAAGCCTATCACATCAGAGTTAGGCTGTTTGTAGAAAGCCTTGTCAGCAATCCTATTGCACAGGCAAGGCCAAGAAAGCAGGAAAAAGAAGGAGAGAGGAGATTAGTTGTGTCAAAAAGAAGCAGAGAACATTTAGGGCCCGAGAAGCAGTTCTAAGGATTAGTGAATAACATGTTTAAGGTGGACTGAAAATAATCTTTCGCACTACTGTTAAACTGGTGCTGCTAATAAATACATTTAGACTGCCGAAGCACTTAAGGCAGGGGTGTGAAACTCACTTTCATCGCGGGCCACATTAGAATTATGGTTGCACTCAAAGGGCCGGCGGTAACGTTAAGACTATATAAATATACATAGATAAATATACATAAAAAATATAAAATAATGTATTATTTTACACTATTTCCTCTACATTGGATTATTATCGGATACGGTAATAACTTCATAATTAACTACGTCTGAAAGCAGAAGTCTAGGGAAAATAATTGCAAGTCTCTTCATTGCGCATGTCACAAAATGAGATGCATTGTGGGACATGTAGTTTATGGGCAACGTTCTCCTGTAAAGCGATATGTAACATTATAATAAACTTATTATATTCTTTGCAAGCTTTTGTGGGCCACATAAAATGAAGTGGCGGGCCGGATCTGGCCCCCGGGCCTTGAGTTTGATACCCCTGACTTAAGGCAACTACAGTGTGCTTTGGGGCTAGGCTTTAGCGTAGAAGAAAAATATGACATTTTCTCTTTGCCGTTTGCATTCCCTTTAGCTTCCTGTTTTGTTTACTGGACACACAGCCTTGGACTAATATCTCCTCAGAGGATTCTTTTGTCAGCGCTTTCACAGACACAGGGGAGAGGAAATTGGCAAAAGCTAGAGCTACAGATGCAGAGTGATACCGTGCTAGACTTGGACAGAGTCTGTTGGAAAGTGTGAGAGAAGAACGGGGTTAGCTTGGTCAAGAGAAGAAGAGGGTGCAATGTTTTGTAAGAATAACGGGGGGAAAAACTGGACCCAGCCTAAAACACACATTTTAAGTGGTAGACAGTCTTTATACTAACAATAAACACATTAAATCAGCAATACTATCAATCATTTCGAACACAAAACTGTTACACTTTACAACGACCTTCAACATTTGATCCTTTGGTGCTGACCAACAGGATTATTTTAACTCCCTGCATAGCTCATTAAAATTGTTCACCAAAATGTTACATATCCCACCTAACATAGTAGAGTCTTATACCAAATATAAAACAGTGCATTCCGGTTAATATGCACAGTAAAACAATGTTTCGAAGGGTTTATACCAGTAAAATATATTCTTAATTGAATGTGTTTGGTGTAGTGATTACGTTATCCTAATGTTACACTATTTCTGTGCACCTTAACTGGGGACGCGTCTGACACTAACCTGTTGTTGGCCTTGTTCTTCTCCATCTGCTCACTCTGGTGTACATGCCAGTCCTCCAGCTCCTTTTTAGCTTTCTCTTTCCACTCTGCCTCTGCTGTCTTGGAAGCCAAGTCTTTTTAAGGAGAAAAGGCAAAGAAAAACAACATAGTCAGAGTCCTCAGGAGAGGAATCTAAAATATCCGACATATTATAAGGTCTTAGTTTCACGCAATTAGATAGGCTGCATCATTTGTCTTAATAAGGTAAACTGCAAAAAGACTAAATCACAGGGACTCATTACAGCCTAAGTAGGAAGCAGTACGATTCATTCTTTGTTCACCTAGTGCTTCAAGGCGTGTCTTCTGCTCCTCCCTCCACTTGCGTAAACTCTCTGGCTCTTGCCTCTGAATATCCACCTGGGCAATGGCTGCATAGCTGTCAGTCGGGCCATTGGACTCCTTTTAGAGGACATCAAACATTTGCTCCATTATAAACAACAGTCTATTTAATTTAAAATACTGTAAATCCATCACGGCATGAGATGAAGTAATTCCAATACAAACAAAACGGGGAAGTTCTCCTTATTGATTTCATGGCGTTCAGATTTAAACCAAACCACACTTACAAACATATATATGTTGCCAATAATTACATATAATGGAATAATAAGTTTAAAGATGCACGTTAAGCTCACCTCAAACATGTCCCCATTCACTGTGGCAGGCTCGTCCTCGAAACCGTCTAACATTTTGACAGGAAAGAGTAAGTATATGTTAGTGTTAGCTAACCTTCCTCATCATCTGGGTTAACTAATGGTCGCTAGTATGGCAGTGTCACTTTGTTCCTCAGATAAACTTAGACCTGAGAAATGCAGCGGCACCTGTTTGGCTACTAACGTTCATGTTGTCAGTGCAGCTTTGTCAGGAAACAGAACAAGTTTTTACGGTAGAAGTGTACAGTCGACTTAGCTAAAATAATTTATCTCAATCAATACTAACGTTTGCTATATACTGTTACCATCAGAGGTGTAAGAAGTACTTAGATATATTACTCAAGCAAAAGTACAAAAGTATTGGCATCAAAATATACTCAAGTACAAAAAGTAAAAGTACTTATTGTGTGAAATGTCCCATTTTAGAATCTTAATTACTGGAGAATAATTATTGCTGCATTAATGTGTTCATCAATAGAAAGTACAATATTGGCTCACAAATTGAAGAAGAGTAAATCAAAAATTCTCAAGTACCCCAAAATCGTACTTTAGTACAGTACTTGAGTAAATGTACTTCACTACATTACACCACTGGTTACCATTCATTCTTTCTCGACCATAGACAGTGTTTGAATATTGCCCCTTCCCTCACATTATCTCAGTCATGACCATCTGCACTAACGATATAGCACACACTGTACCGTTTCCATCCTGTTACATTCATATTAATACTGTTATACCCATGTATTCTTATGCATATTGATATATTTATACACCATACTCTAGCCTGCTTTTAATATATCTTATTTCGTTTTAGATTAATCATGCAGCACATCAAGCATTTTTATCCAGGACTGGAATGCTTTCATTTATGTCAGCTTATATATTTAACATTTCTTATATGCTAGCTTATATGTTTGTTTGTTTGTTTATTTGTTTGTTTGTTTGTATGTATGTATGTATAGTTTCTTAATATTTAGGTGTGGAGAGCTGAGCGTAAGAATGTCAGTGCAACTGCCTGTTATACTGTATATATGACAATAATATATATTGAATCTTGACAGTTTATCATCTGTATCTAATGTTAAAGCAGAATGTGCTGTGGAATTATTCAAGTGACGTTGCGTTGTCGGTGTGCAAACGAACGTCAGCTATCTAAATTACTTACAAGGCTAACTTACAATTAGTTGTATTGAAAATGCGCTCAATAACACAACCTCACTACCAACTAATGAGTTTTGTTAATGTATAGGGATGGGGTCATTGTTTCCTAACAGACGTTTACTATCAGTTCAACGTTATTCATAATAGCTAGCTTTTGTTAGCTTGTTAGCCGAAGCTGACATTAGCTCTAACTTGCCATAGTTGGCCGCCGGCTCGGGCTCCGGCTCCGGCTGAGGCGGCTGCTCGTCCTCCGCTGCTTCGAGAGACCCAAACCCCTCGCCGTCGTTCTCGATCCCGGCTATCTCACTCTCCTGTTGAGCCAGGAAAGCTGCAGCTGGGTCCTCTTCAGTCGGGTGTACGCCGTTGTCAGCCATCTTTCACAAAAGTGTTTACAAGTTTCACTGAGCTTGGTAGGTTTAGCTAGCTAACGTCAAAGCACTCCAATTAGGCCACCGGTTCTGCAGCGTTAATACAAACAACTTGAATGTCTTACTCGAATCCTAGGTATTCCAAATTGTGTTCGGTAGGAAACTAGGCACACAAAGAAATAACCTGTTTTGCAAGATTTTAGCTTCGACTTTAGGCCTTCACTGATGATTCATGATTTCTTCACTTGTTCAGCACTGTGATGATGGAGCAGGGCAGCACCCCGAAGGTACCATTTCACATTTGTTGCAGTTTGTCCCCATCTGCTGGCCATCTCATGCATTATTTTTAGCCACCAGGCATTGAGATGCATTTGATCACAAAAGCTACACAACATGATCTTAAAGGAGGATTTAAATATTGCTGTGAACTATGCCATACAAAATATATTTTTATATAGCATATTAGTCACATTGTATACACTAAATGCACCTCATCAGCCAATTAAATAGTTAAAAGATAACAGTAGCCTACTTGTACTGCACATTATAAACACCTTACTTATTATTCCTAACTCCTATAAATATTGAGGGAATGGACCATATAATCTATGAATGGGACATGTTACTGTTCGTCATAAAAAAAAATGGAAATAAAGTATAACTCCAGTGTCATAGAGAAATAAAGAACACAAAGAAACCGCATTGATTTATACACAGATCCATAACCAAACTAAGAAGGAAATACCTCTTAAAATACTATTTAAAGTGCAGCATTATGTTTTATTTTATTTTATTAGTATTAATAAGCAGTTATACTCATTTAATATAGAAAACTTTTTTTTTTAAACGGGTAAAACCTTTAAAGGTTGCCTTTTCAGAAAGTGGTGACCAGCAATTTTGCAATGCTGGTCTAGGTGATGCTGAGCTATGTTGTACTATTTATTTAGCATAATTATTTTAAGCAAAATAAAATTTCTGTTCAAATTTCGTTTTTGTTTTACTTTTGGAGGTAACATAAGGGTAAAGCTGCCTAATCAGTAGTTTATTGCACGCACCTGTAGCTTATTATTCATTATAAATGCGGTTGAAATTACGATACACCTATGTTTGGTGAACTCAGAATTCTCTGCTAAATAGTCCAGTTATTGTTGAAAAAGAACACATATTTCATGATTTGTTTATGTTGTGCAATGATATAGTTTCCTTTTTTTTCAAAAAACAAGAAGCCATTTTTGTATTCAAAGTGGTATTTAAAGTCATTATGATGGATATGGATTGGCTCTACATGGTTTAACAGCTGAAATGTCTGCAAAGCACGGCCTCTTCTGGTTAATAGCCCGAATATGAAATGAAGCAGCTGCCCATGTGACTTCTGACGTTTCAGCCGAGTCCTTCTAAAAGGAATGTGAGGGAAATGATCCTGCAGCTCACCAAAGGGAACCACGGTGGCTTCCTGACGTCCGCTTTAAGGAAGTGCGAAAGTTAGCCTACTTACCGATTGACTTTTTATCCACTAGACTGACTCGCGATGTCTGGAGAACACATCGAAGGACAAGAGGTGAGCGCTTTTATATATCCAGACATGTGAATGCATTCCTTCGTGAGTAGGAATAACTTGAAAGCCAACTTTTTCACAGTTTGAGTTTTTGTATGGGTTGTGTTGTCCTTCTAACTTTACATTTTATGGTTTTCCGCTAGCTGCTCTGAACCACCTTCGGTCTAACTACTTAAAGACAGTTTTCCTGTCCTTTCCTGCTACTTCCATAGTGAATGTGAATGATTTATTTCAAGTTCTGCATTGCAGTGGTTTAGCAGTCTTTAAATACCTGATAAAAATGAATATCTTGGACACACTTGAATCAATCAAAAGTAAGATAAATAAGTCTATAAATAGATTGCCTTCAAAAAAAAATTCTTAAAAGTACTAGTTCATATACTAGTTCATATAGAAATATAACATGGACACCATATATTATTAATAGCAATGGGCTACCATAAACAGGGACCCCGTCGCTTGAATGAGTACCACAGGCAATGCTGCTCTATGTCGGCTATTGGCTTAGGGTTGATGTGGTTGGTATTTAATTAACCAAATTGCACCAGTCTTCATGCAGTAACTGTCTTATTATAATCTGCTTAAAACAACAAAGTGATCCATTTGAAATGTACCCTTCATTACTTGTAGTTGCTATAGCTTTTTCCCTCCCCCCCCCTCCCCATTTTTTAAGTTTATCAAACATTATAAAAATGAGGTGAGATGAGGTAACATGGGAAAAGAGACAACAACTTATCCAAGTTTGGTAATAAGGACTGTTTATGCCATCCAGAAAGTGTATTGACATTTAGTTTTGAACATAGACAAAATAAATAGACACAGATTAATACTGATCATTGTTTTTATTTAATTAACATTTTTTGCAGGTTTTGTGGATGGGGTTAAAAGGGAAGCTTGGCTGGTTGCTTTTTACAATACGTTTGAAAAATACCTTAATGCTATTTTTGTCTATTATGTATGAGTTCAGTTTCAGTTTTTACTATACTTAAGCCCCTCTGTTACTTAAGAACTTTATGTTAAAATGTAATTGCTAGTTTGGTTGTACTTTGCTTCATGCCCTGCATTGGAATGTAGAGTTTCAAAAGCTTCAGTCGTGGCCGTCTGCTGCTTCTCAAGTACACTTTATTAAAAAACAAATCCATTGACTCTGCTGTTGTAGGCTTTTGCCAGAATATAGGGGTAGTTGACGATACCTCTACCCCCCTCTCTCTCTGTGACTCATGCGGGTGTTGGGCTGAAATAGTTTGGTGTAGTTTTACATTCCTTATATAGCCTCTGAGGAGTGAGCGGAGGCTAGGGCTCGCCTGTGTCAAAGACAGTGTCGGGGTAGGGTTTGCCAACAGAGAGAGAATCTGCTTGCCCTAGCTTACTGACTCTAACTTTCTCCCAGCATCGGGTTATCAGCCACCCCTTGAGGATAAGGTAGGTTTGCATAGGTGGCATCTTGGGAAGCTATGTGTCATGGAGGGTGATGACACCTGGGAGAGTTTGGGAGGAGGAGCAAGATGTGTGTTAGGGTGCAGGTACAGAGGTCACTTGTACAGCCGTAACTTGCAAGTGACGTAGCCTGATGTCTCAAGTTGCCTCTGGTTCCTAAAATTACCTCGTTATTTAGTGACTTGCCATTCTATGCCTCTGATCAGTTCTGCTGAAGTTAGTTTCAAACTGTTTGCATGGTTTCAAAGCTACGCAAATGTCTGTGAACTATGTCAAATACAAATAAATGTCAAAAAAGTGCGGATATTGTGGGCAAATGTTTTATTTTGGCTCACTTTAAATGGTTGAATTATTCTTAAAAGAAATAAAATCACTTTTGTATTGTCCAGTAGATGTTCGGTGGTACTCTTTTGTATTGTTTGTTTGACACTGAGTTGGCTGTCTGTGAAAGCTATGAAGATTACAGTATGACGCAAAGGATTTCATCCTATTCGTTTGTATTTTAATAAGTGTACGAACATTATTTCTCAGGGGCCGATGCAGTATTTTATTGCCTTGTGACATGTTATTATAAAATTGACACATTTAATGCGTTTTTGTAACAAAGATAATGCAGAAAAATATTTTCACACATTTAACATTATGTTCTCTAACAAAACCAACAACAATTGATGCCAGTTTCTCTATGGAATGTATGTGTTTGTTTTGGAAATGAATGCACCCGACAGGCAGGATGGAGCAGAAAATAACCTTTTTTTTCCCAGGCTTTTTGACTAATTAACACCATGTTTCCTCTTTTTCTCTTTCCCAAGGCTATGAACATATACTCTGTAAACCTCAGCGGCCCGGCGCCTTGGGGCTTCAGGCTGCAGGGTGGCAAGGACTTCAGCATGCCCCTCACCGTGTCTAGGGTAAGAAACTATTTGTCAGCTTTGTACTTCCTCGCATATGTTAGCATTGATGAATTTACACTCCGAGCATTTGGGTGAAAGATCATCCTGTAAAGTAATTTATGTCCAAGCTTCTAAATAAAAGCCTAATATTTCCAAGCGTTTGTTGTTAGCTCCACATAATGATCCTACCTGGTCATATCTTTTCTGGCCTGCGTAGTATGGGAGACTGTTTTGTTCATGTTCATATCATTCACATTGTTATGGTGAATATAGCAACCCATATCCAGTGGATCTTAAGATGCAATACATTTGGATTGAAATAATTCATTGGTCATGCACATGCTGTTTGTTTTGCAATGCTTTCTACTCTCCATGTTAGGTCATTGCTGTTTTACTGAATTCATTTGAGATACTCTACAAACTGTTTCTATTGAAGAGAGCAGCAACCACTTTCCAGGCCTTATAAGTGCAGTGCTACTTTGCCTGACAAACACAGTCTCCCTCGTGCAGCCACACACACATGCACACACATAAACTCATTCCTACGTTGCTGCTGCCAGCAAATTGAGCACACAGAACTGACATTCTACTAAGCACTCATTCCTTGACGACATTGTTATATTGCTACCTTTGACCTATTATCAATAATGTTCAACTAAAGAGATATTTAAGAGTTAAAGGTAATGAAAAATGGGTTGGGCCTCACATGGTTATTCCACATTCTTTCAATCTCTTTCATTTTGTTTTTTTGTAGCTGCCAAATAAAAAGCTTTGAACGCATGATGCCCTTTTTTAAAATCTTGGTTTGATTTGTATGACCAACAGAGTCCAGAGGGTCTCCATGGTAGCATCACATGAAGTCTGTGTAAAGTTGATGTCATCTTGTGGCGAAGGCAGCAGTTATCACCATTCTTGTTAGTACATGTCCTGTTCCCTGGCAGGCATCTGAGTCTAAAACACAATGTTCCCCTTGGATTCATGACAACAAACATTCTCCTCCACTCATAAAAGAGCAAACAGATGTGTAACCCCATCTGACTAATTGCCCAGAAGAAAACCGGGATCATTAGTGTGTATAGGACTTGAATAGGAGGACTGGCAAGGCGTAGTAGGTTGAATTTCAGCAGTTGTGTTAATAGATTGAATAATCAGCCAGTGCAGGTGGCCAGTTTTTCTGCAATCCAGGTACATTACACATGCTGGTTATTTCCTCTGACAGAAATGTGGCTCTCCTTTTCTGTATTGCCTTTCCTTTCCAGTCTCTTTGGCATCTTGGTAGTGTACTTCTAGGACTGGATCATTATTGACTGGTCACTGGGCGAATACCTTTTGAGGCGTGCTCCAGCAGTCCACCAGACCTCAGGCTACAGAAGTTAAAGATGTGACAGGGTTTCTCTCTTTATACTTCTTAGGGACTAGTGCCATGACTTGCGTTAGTCATAAAAGACTGGACTGTGAATCACAGTCGCAGAGGATGAAACGACACAACCAGGGGATGTAAACCTCAAAGATTTACAGTCCCCGGGAAGAAGAAAATATGGCCTGAACTCTCTTGGCTCAAATGTAATGGGTGGTCTTTTTTTGCTGGTATGTAGCTAATGAGATAAGAATCCAGACATTAGGTAAAAAGCATTAGCCCAGTGAGGAACATGTTGAGTGACAGGACAAAAGGCAGTAAAATGCTGGTGAAAAACGGCAAAGAGATTGCATTTATTTAAAGCTCATGTTTAAATAAAACCAATTAATTTGAGTTTGTCATATGGTGGGTGGCAGATCTTTGTATTTTGGAAGTTTTGAGACGTCTTAGCTCCTGTGTGTGAGACTGAGTTGGTATAGAGGTTTCCATGCTCCAAGAATGCTCTTTTTTTCCCTTCCTCCTCTGTCTGCGAGCCTGGAGAGCTATGCTTTCTCAGCATTCCTGGGATTTTTCTCGTGTCCACCCGGTCGCTGCCAACAGACAATCCTCTTGTCTCTTTCTGTGTCTAATGTGTCTTCCACACTCACTTTTGCCAAGCATATGACAGGACTCTCCCAAACTGTAATCGTTTTTCAGTGAGATCAGAGGAAAGGAGACCATGCCAAGACAAACTGTTGAGGAAAACCTTTCTTTTGTGACCTTAGCATAATATGTATACACCCATTTATCCTAAAAAACAAACCACATCTGCTTTTATTCAACTCTTTTTAGTATTAATATCCTACTTTTTATTTTCTTTGCCTTGAGATAGCAGATGTATGAACACTTATAACAAGTTAAGTCACTCCAAATGCTCTTGACCCTTCACCATGCTATTAAGAAAAATCTAAAGAAAGACAAAGCAATGTCTTTCTCTTTTAGTTTAATGACTGCGATGCCATTGTATCCATTTCTAACTGACAAAGTAATACTGGAAACAGCCATGTGAGTCAGTACAGCCTCGACCCAGCCTCAGATGAACATCATTTGAATGTTGCTTTGCACTGGTGAATAGACATTTCTATTAGGGCTGGGAGGGTATTGTTATTGGCAAGTGGTACTCAAGTGAATTGAGTATTGCACTTCTATTACGTTTCGAGACTTGTGAGAGACCTTTCTGAAAGAATTGGCAAATATGAAGAAGCAGAAAAATCCTGACTTTTATACTTACTACGGGTCCAATTCTAAAAACACTGGATCCAAACAACGAGGCTTCATGATGCCTTTCTTTACTAACGTTACATTTCAAGCTTCAAGTTTGTAACACAGGGTTACTGTCTGTTAAAACCTCATTATACTTGAACACAAAATATATATTTTTGTATGAAAGGGTTAAACGTTGCGTAAGCTACGAGCGTCTATGAAAGCTGCCTCGGAAAAAGTTACGACAGTCAGTCAGAGTTGCTAGTTTGATCCTCGCTCCAGAAATAGCCTACTTTGTCTTTACCCTTTCCTAAACAACCTTGTGCCAATTTGTTTTCTTGAATTTCTCAAGACTTCTATGACTTTCAAAAGTCTGAGTTATACTTAAGTAAAATTATATCTCTCCACATGTCTGCACCGACATCCTGTGATCGTCATATATAGGAAGCAAGATGTTGACGTTCGGCCGTTTCATTGGGGTTTCCATTGAGTCTCTCCCAGTCTGGGGCAGGAACTCCTGAGGAGTTTCTTCATATATCTGTCCCAGATCCCGTGCCATCGTGATTCCATAAACAATATGATACCATAGCGCAGCCTCCTGCGTACCATCTGGTTTCTATCATTTAAAACATACCACTACCCTGAAATCAAACTCTGGGAGGAAATTACAGATGATGTCAAGTCAATAATCTGTCTGTCCACCAGTACATCTGGATGTGTCATCGAGTCTTATATTCCTCTATCTCTGCATGTGTCTCCGCCTGGCTCGTAGGCCATCTGTTACTTTATCACTTGTGTACTCTTTAAAGACTCCCCCTCTCTCATACACACACATACTCCCCCCACAGGAGGCCCTGTTAGAGGGGGGAATTAATAATTCAGTACTTACTGATAGATTACCTGCAGGGAGCATTTATTTCGTGGCTAGTTGGATGTGAAAGTCTAATGTTGTGATCGGGGCAGCAGTGTTTTAAGGTGAGTAAGGGCTAGGTGTTCCACTGCAGCCGTTTCAGGGGGACTACATACTTGAAGGTTTGGTTTTCCATTTCTCAGAGGGATATTTATGGCTTTGCATCAGCTGTGCTGTGTGAGGGATGGAAGGACAGACTGTCTCTCGGCCCCCAAATAGCAGTGGAAAGAATAAAAGTGAGCTGGGGGCAGAGTTACATGGCCAGAATATCTACAGCTTTAGATAAATCCTAGTGCATTATTAGTTCAACCAAAAACAAGAGCAGCCAGCCCGGAGCGAGTGTGAGGTCCTGGCTCACCTGTAGGGTCAGTCAAGGGAAGCACTTCAAAGTTGAATTCAAGATGCTGCATTTTGAAAGGTTGGCTCATACTTTGAAATTTGATAACATACCAAAACAGTTCTTGTGCTGTGCTCTGCCAAAAGGCCTTGAAACACGCCATTAACTGTTCAGCTAACCCTGTGGTTGCGAATCCCTTTTGATCTATAAACATCATGCCATTAGTGTGAGGCGAGTTACAATCATATTTGCACCAAACACTTTAAGAGTTTTCTTTTTTGTGTGTTACTTGAGTCAGAGGAAACAGGCAAATAAAAGCCATTGCTGCTATATGATGTTATCGTGCACCATGGCTGCTCCATCATGTCATATCTGTAGTTGTTTGAGGTTCAGTGCAGTGTGTTGCATTTAGGAACATGTTTTCCACTGTCCTTCGCTGTATTGACAAACTGCTTGGGGGGTATAGGGTTTCCATCCGCCCCCTACCACTCAAAGGTCTGAGCACAGCAACTTTAACTGCTGCCTTCTCAAGTGAGGCAGCAGCTGCACCCTGAACCTGAGCCAGGAGCACAGGTGTCTGCGTCCATCAGTCACCCAGCTCACATGCACATACATTTGAAATCCACAATCTGTATGACTTCTGTATGTAATTCTGTTTCTTTTAAGTTTAGATTTAGATTATGAATATTCAATTATGGTATTTTAGAGTAAAGACAGGGGATACATTGAAGGCCAAACCAACATAAAATGTCTCGGTAAGAACAGCTTCAGTGGTCCTTGGTATAAATGATGAACATCTACTCATTATTTTTATTTTATCAAACAATTCAATGACCCCTTGTTCTCTATATTAAAACATTTATATCATTTTTTTTCCTCATTTATTTATAGTTGTTTCTATTTTAGTCTTCTCCTGTGTGTATTTCCAATGTTATTTTATTATAAATAGAACACGTGTTGCTTTTTCCACGGACACATATTCCCACCCCCACTTCAGAGTTGACCTGCAAAGCTTTTATTGCTTAATTAAAGTTTCATAAAGACTTTTTTATTACTCTTTATGAAAAGATTACATACAATAGTGTGATTTCTGGTCATTTTCTACACCTCTATCGCCATTAACATTTTAACATTTTTTTTTAACAGAGATTTAGCTAGACTTGAAAAGCTCCCTTGAGGCTTTTCACAGTGCATCTGTGGCTTAGGCTGCATAGTTGTTGTTGTTAAACTCTATTAAAAGCATTGTTTTATTTTGGTAAATGATAAGGTGCTCAACTTTTACAATCCAGTTTAGTAATAAAAGGGTTCTGCGGCTCTCAGTAGTTAACCTTAGTGGCATTATGTCAGGCCGGGCCCCTTTTCAGAATGCGTCACTTGTATCCATGTCATAGTTGTATTTCTCCAGTGTACGCTGTTCAAGCTCTTTTAAGTTCTTCCTTAACTGGAGAAAGTATGTCTTTCTTAACCCCTCTAATTGCTTCCAGGGAGTGCAAATCAAAGGCAATTATGGTGATGTTTGAACTTGGCTGTAAAATAAGTGTAGCTTGGATTGCCCCTGAGGAATGTATTTCTTCCTTATTTTAGTTTTGATCCAAGGCTTTAACTTTGTTGTCTTTGTCGGGTGCGCATTTGTCTCTCAGCCTGAGCTGTCATCGGTTTACAGAGCATATTACCCTGCTCACACAAGTGTTTATTTTTAATGTGCAGAATCAAAGCGGCAAGTGGGATAGCTTTGCTGAACATGGCAGAAAACCATTGATTGAACCGCAGAGTCCTCTGAGCTTTTGATGAGCTAACATTTGCAGGGATCCATGACATCAGAGAGTAATCCTAATAGGTTTTTCGCCAGAAATGCTAGCACCCGCTCCCTTATCTGATGCCGAACACTTTGTAATCCAGCTATCACAAGTTTCAAGTTTCATTAAGCCGCAGAGGCTGGCTGACTAAGCTCTTACTAAACACGATTTGGCATCTTTGTTCTGTATATTAGACTACACTGACTGCCATATCCTTTAAAAAAAACAAAATCTTGTACATGAAGAAAACCATTAACTACCTATGTAGAAGTCAAGTCCTTCCTGTTTGTAACAAGACTCCAGGCCTCTGCTCTGACTCAAGATGTCAGCAGACTGCGGGACGTCTGAAAGGATGAGATCATTGTTTTGTCAGAGAAACTAGTCAGAGACTTACCTGTCGCGATGGGTTGTTTCAGTAAATTATGTGACTATTTGTAAAATATGGTCCTCTCCGTAGCTTTGAGGAGTTCCTTTCATAGTCACATCTGCAGCAAATCATACGCTGATGGCTGATGACATCATGATGACCCATTATGCCTGTTCCCGATAGTGTTGAGTGAAATATCTCGGCTGGCCTGTCAGGCGCAGACACGCAGACTCCCTGGGCTCATTATTAAAAGCCGTCAACAGACAAAAAGTCAACTGAACATGACTTTCAGTGTGTTGAGATGTCCTGCATTTTGCTTTGAACTGATGATTTATCTTGGGTAATTGTATGTTATGTAGTCACACACTGACAACTTCAGTACTTTTTTTCCCTCTTGGTTTGGAAATTATTTTCTCTTTCAGACATAACCTGATGACTATAATGACAACATTTTTTGAAAAGGAGGCAAATGTGCAGTTTACGTTACATTGTGATTATTTTCATATCCCTGAAAGAACAAGATCTAGGATGAATTCAAATATCGCAGTATTTGGCCCATAGTAACTGGGATTTTATTTTTGCGCTTCAATCCCTGAAGCTGCCTGTTGGGGCATGTATTCATCTATGCAACTGTCACAACACCATGTCTTCATGTACCTCTGTCTTCTGTCCTTGTTTCCTTTCTGTAGCTGACCCCGGGTGGGAAGGCAGCTCAGGCTGGTGTCGGTGTGGGAGACTGGGTGGTGTCCATCAGCGACACTAATGCAGAGGACATGACCCATGTGGAGGCACAAAACCAGATCAGAGCAGCAACAGACTCCCTCACCCTCACCCTCAGCAAGTAAGTTAACTGGCGACGTGTGATGCAACACACATCTACATGATCACTTCCCCTCCCTTTTTATGTCGGTCATACACAGCAGAATAAACATCCTCCCTTATTCTTAGGAGAGATACAATACCACAATGTCCTCACACAGATGGCTTCAAAAGACCTTGGTCTAAAAAATATCCTCACTAACAACAAAATGTATTTTTAAAATAATTAATGCTCAACATAACTTAGACTTGAATTGTTATTTATTTGTGCTGCTGTGAAATAAGTAAATGTGTGCCAGGAGGAGGTGTTTTCCATCCTGATAGTCCCTTTGTCTGTTACAGTAGAGCCAACAAAGTACTATCTTGGTTTTGGTACAGATAATGCTACCATATGGCCATTTATAAAGCACGTTTAGCTTTTTATCATTAATCCTAACCTGTGAGGCTTAGAAGTTATTTCTTTCCAGGATTCTTGATCCAACATCTTTGCTTAACGGTGTGCCCAAATTCCACCCACATAGATTTCACATTTTTGCAGCTTATCTGCTATTATTCCTTCTACAAATTGTGTCCAATCTTCACATAATTGGAACTGTACAAAGCATATTTTGGTAGTCTATATTTAGGCTTGCTGCCTAGTTGAAACAAATAATGTAATTTTGATCATAGGTAATAAAAACACAATAATGGCTTTAAGTGATACATGTAAACAACTAATGTAATACAGAATGTAAGTATTCTCCAAAATGATCATGTATTTTGATGCAGATTCAAATGTAGATGCAAGTTAAAAACTTAAAATGATGGTTTATTAAAGTAACAAGAGGATAGGGTGATTAGAGGTCAATACTCTGACCTTTTTCTTGCTAGCTAGTGATATTTTATACTTATCATTCAGAAGATGCAAGATCTACTTTCCAGTAGTCTGCATTCAGCAGCAGATACGCATGCCAAATGCTTTAAGGCAGATATTTTAAATACTGACATTTGTTTGGTTAAAATAAAACATTTTCAGGGGAGCAACTGGTTCCTTAATTATGCCTTAAATACAATTTGAGAAAATCTTTATTCAGATTAAAACACTAAAGTGTGAGCCAGGAAAGTTGTTACTCTTTTTGATTGAATTATGCTAATTAGCACTGGATAAACCACAAAGGCAAAGCACTCGTACCTGCTCACATAACTCCTGCCAGGAACTCCTGACTGATAGAGTGGCTCTGTAGAGTACAAGCCAAGTGTTTCATCAGGAACTTAAAAATAAGAAAAAAGATTTACCTTCCAAGAAAAAGCAAAAAACGAATTCATTCAAAAGAGTCTAAAGCCGTCAGAAGATGAGAACGTTTTAAGTTATAAAGATGAGCCTTGCTGCTGTCCTGGGACTTTTATGAGAAGAAGTGGTTGTGATCCCAGCTGTACCCCTGACACTATTTTCACATATTCTCAGTTTCCTAGTTGTTGTCTGCCAAGAGGGTTGGCTGTTCGTTCAATCAATCAATCAATCAATCAATCAATCAATCAATCAATCAATCAATCAATCAATCAACCAATCAATCAATCAATCAATCAATCAATCAATGTTTATTTATATAGCCCGATATCACAAATGTTACATTTGTCTCAGTGGACTTCACAGTTTGTACTGAATATCAGTATGACAATACGACACCCTCTGTCCTTAGACCCTCACATCGTACAAGGAAACACTTCCAGAGAAAAACCCACAGTTTAAAGGGGAACATGGGAGAAACCTCAGGGAGAGCAACAGAGGAGGGATCCCTCTCCCAGGACGGACAGACGTGCAATAGATGCCGTGTGTAAATCGAAGAGATAATACATGTTACAGCGTAGGTAGACCAAATGTTTGGAAAGACGAAGTGTTTGGAAATGCATGTGTCTAAGAATCCACGAGGATGTCAACAATCCTGTGGGAGCCATCAGGGAAGTAGTATGATGAGAGTCTGGCAGAACCGCAGAGATAGGTTCAGCCACGACTCGAAGTCCAGGACTCAGATCCAGAACTCAGGTTAGAGGATCCAGGACACAGGACCACAGCAACAGGATTAGCCACGACTCAGGATCCCGGCGTAAATATAGACACCAAAAAGAAATTTGGGGGTAGCTGGGTTATTCGTAAAATGAGTACAGGGACTCCCTTAGGATAGGCTGAGGGATAGGGGTAAGGAACAGAGGTGGAGAGGCACAACGTGTCTACGTACATGCACTCCCTGTTATGTTCTGTCAAATCTTTCTTCACTTGGTTTCAGTCAGAACAGCCACAGGTCATTTATAAGACTTTCAAGAACTAAACTGCTAGAACATAATAGTTTGTAGCGATCATAGT